TGATGCAGATCTCTCAATAGTTTAGTGAGATTTTATTGTAAAATATTTATAAAATTTTATTTTTGAGAAAATTCATTAAATCTTTTAATAGTTTGGCATGATTTAACTTAAGATGCAATCCTCTAATAGTTTGGTAGGATAAAATATAAAATATTTTATTGATTACCTTATTTATGAAATTATCTAATAGTTTGGTAGAATCCATAAATTTTAAATTCATGAAAAATCCTCCAATAATTTGGTAGGATTTATGAATTTATTTGAAAAGAGAATTTTTTTTTTTAGGTTGTTTTCTAAAAATAAAATAATAAAAATAATTTTACAAAAACATTTAAAGAGTAATAAATTGCTTAAAATTAGTAAAATAATAATGATGATAATAATAATAAATAAATAAAATAATAAAAAACTTTAAAATGAAAATTACAAAAAATAAAAACAAAAATTGAAAATAAAAAAAGAAAGAAAAACTTACGATTGGGTTAGGTTGCTTTATGAGGAACGTACGGATCCTAAACAGGTTCATGTAGATCCTAGGCTTGCTAAAACAACATCATATTGAAGTCTTATAAAATAATCGAAAATTGGTTTTTCCTCATATTTGCCTTAGCATTTCTCTCTTTAGCTAACATTTCCTTTGGTTTTTCTCCATAATTTTCCCAAACCAGTGCCAAAAACTAGGTAGCTTATCGATTTTTGGAAAATGTCATCGAAAACTTCAAACCTCGCCAAAAAATTCAAGCATTCAAACTTTAAAACCCAGATTTTCCTAGATTTCCCAGAAATTCAACTCCAAACCTAGAAATTTAAACCTAAACCTAGAACTTAAAACTTAAGACCCATAAATTTAAACTACTTTCAATTGCCAGAAACCCTTAATCCCAGAAACTTCAAATCCAGAGAGGTTCCCCAAAGATCAACTCTACCTTTCTTTATGATTTTGTGTTCAATTTATAGCCTGCTTTAGTACTAATTATAAGACTCGAATAGAACCAATCCAGGCTTGAATCCTGAGATTAGATTTTGTCCAACGTGATTTAGGCCTAGGTTTTACAAGTCGGCTTGATTTGATTCGATTTTGAATTGAAAACCCTTTGATTATCCAAATTTGATTTCCTTGTTTGTCAGCCTAGATTAAAAACAAGGAAAGAAATAATAATAATAATGCTAATAATAATAAACATCAGTTGACCTTGGACTTAGATGAGTGTTTACAAACATATATGCATAGACTACTAAAATCTATAGCTGAAATAGTGTAATTAAAAGAAATTTAGTCTAATTTATATTCACTAGTTATATATCAAGAAATAATAAGCATTTAATAGGTTTATTTTAAATTTTTGTCAAAAAGTTAAAAAACAAAAATTTTAGATGAACATCTACCTATTTATCAATACTATAAATTTTACTCATGTACGAAGCTTCTTTAGGGTTTCATGTGGCATTTCACCATTTTTCCTTTATTTCTTTTCAATTACTTTTTTTTTTATTTTTGATTTTTCATTTTTGAAATATTTAATAAATATTTTTTTACATTTTCTGAAACCCTTTGGAACGCCACATGGCATTTCATCACTTTTTTCTTTTTTTATTTACTTTCTTTGAAATATTTAATATTTATTTTATATATATTTATTTTTGTGAGGTTCATTTGATATTAAAATATATTTTCTTTTTTTTTTATTTTTTTCTTGTTTTCTTTGTTAAATTAGATAAATTTTTTAAAAAATATTAATTGTGTCGACGTAATATCTAATTTTTTTTTCTTTTTTGGCCTTTTCTCTTTTTTTATATATTTTGTTTTTTTTAATTCATGATATAAATTGGCTAAATACTTAATTTATAAATAAACTTTTGCTTGGTTGGTCGCTTCAAAATTAAATATATTATTTGATATGAATAAAGATGAAATGTTATTTATTTATAACAATTTAGAATATTTTTAAATGAAAATGGAGCTGTGAAATACACGTGTAGTTAAGTTGATCAACTGTGATATATAAAAATTATGTGGTTTTTTTTTCTAATTTTAAAAATCTTTTAATATTATTTTGCTTTTTTCCTAATTTATTTCTAATATGAAACACAAAATCAAATCTATTTTTTTTCCTTTTCTTCCTTTTTACAAATGTTTAAAAAAGAATTCAAGCAAATCTAAACAATTTTCTTAGCAACCAGATACTCTCAAAACCTTAATTTCATAACGAATAATGCCTAATTAAATGTTTTTCTTTAAATCCTAGAGTAAAAAATCCTTTTTCTTAATATCTTTATTGCTAGGGTTCTTCTGATAAATGCATACAATTTTATAAATGAATACAATTTAATAAACCTTTTCTTTTCAAATAAAATAAAAATTGAATCTTTCAAAATTTGAAAATCTAGTTGTCCAACATTTTCCCAAAAACAAAGATAAAATATTTGAGTAAGAAATTAGGAAAAAAAAAAAAAAAGTAACACCATCAATTTCACTTCAAAAGTGTAAGTCATATGCTATCCTCTTGTCTCAAGTTTCCTTCATCACAAAACTTAAGTTACTCAACCCTTACCTTGCTTATAATGATTGGATCTTTGACTTTTTCTCAAGCTCCTTCATTTCCACCTTTGTAGAAGAAATTGTAATAAACGCTCATAGATTTTAGAGGCTATGGTGTAACAAAGGTTTGGATCTAAATATCGTGGCTTTCTTTGTTATTGATATAATAGTCTTAATGGTTTTTGAAAAAGATTTGATATGAAAATAGATTTAATGATAAAAAAATTGGAATGGGTTTTTAGTGTTTAAAGAACAAAAAAAAATTAGAAAAAGAAATTTAGATGAAGAAAAAATAAAAATTTATTTTTTATTTTTAAAATTATACAATGACCAGCTGTGTTGTAATGTGAGTAAAAGCATGAGATACCATTTGCAATTAGACTCTTTAACCGTGCATATTATTCCAAGGTTCATTCCATCCAAAAATATCCTAAATTGTTACAAGCATATAACATTTAATTCTTATTTGTATAAAAAAAATTTAGTTCTAAATTAAGCAACCACCCAAACATTTAATTCCAAATGAAATATTTAGTCATATAAATTTTACAAGAAAAACTTATCATTACGCATGGCAACCAACTTTCTTACCTTTTTTTTTTTGTTTTGCTTTTAGTATTTTCTATTTCCTTTTTTAGTTTTTTTTAATTATATCATTTTTTTTTTGAAAAATAAAGGCCAACAGATACATACATGTGGCACCATATTGAAAGAATTTAATAAATTTAGATAAATTTTATGACAAAAAAAAACTTGCGTACACATAGTACCTTAGTTTAGTTTTTTTTTTCTCATTGCCTTCTTTTTGTTTTTTTTATTAGATAAATTTTATAACAAATAAGCCAATTGGTAAAGATGGCAAATAATTTATATCATATTGGTTTAGATTTGACTAGGTCCATTAAGGGTTGTTTCTTTAAATTGGCATCAAGTTGGAACAAATTGGATTTTTTTTTTAAATGAAGTCGGGTTGACAACGGGTTAGTTGTGTTTTGCCTTGATCTAACTTGGTGTATATGTGTGTGTGTGTGTGTGTAATATCCATATATAAATTTTGAACATTTTGGCTTCTACTTTAACTCATTTTTTACATTTCCAATTTCTTCTTATTTTTTCCCCTTGTTTCTTTTTTTCCTTTTTATTTCATTTGATTTTTTATTAAAAATATTTTTCTTTGTTTTTAACTTTTTAACTTTTTTAATTAGATAAATTTGTGAGAAAATAACGTCAATGGAAGTGTCCATGTAGCACCCTTATTTATGTTTTTCTTTTTATATTTTTTGGTTTTTATTTGTTAATCAGATAAATTTTACAACAAATAAAGCTAATTGATAAGAATGACAAAACAATTAGTATTCAATGAATCTCAATTTATCCTAATTTGACATGAGCATTTTTAAAATAAAAAATGGGTATTGAGTTGAGTTAAATTAATTTCTTTTTAGGAAAGTAAGTACAGGTCAAAAACGAGTTTAGGATGCTCTGTATGTATTATATAATTGTGTATATTATATTAATAAAGTTATTATTTGTTACATTAATTTAATATATTAATAGTTTAAAGATAATTTGAATGTCCACATGGCACCCCAATGATATCCCTTTTTTCCCTTTTTTGTTTATGTTTCCTTTTTCCTTTTTCTTGTTTTTTTTTTTTATTAAAAAAAATATTATTTGATACTTTAATTTAGAGATTAACATTTTAAGTTCTATTGGAATGTACACATAGTAACCAATAAGCATTTTTTTCTCCTTTTTAATTTTTTAATTTTTTGTTTTTAGGTCACTTTAATTAAATTAATTTTATAAAAAAGGCCAATGGAGGTGTCCACGTAACACCCACATTTGGTTTTTTTGCTTTTAATTTTTTTTATTTTTAAATTAAATAAATTTTGCAACAAAATACGTCAATTGATAAAATTTTTAAAATAATCCATATTTGACAAATTTTAATCGATCTTGATCCAATAAAGGATGGATTTTTTTTAATCAAAATTAAGTTGGAACAGGTCAAGTTTTTTAAAGAGAAACAAGATCAGATCGAAAGTGTGTTTAGTGTGTCTATCTAACCCATTTTGGGGTATATACAAAAATATATTTCTTATTATTAATTTAATTTAATTTTTATATATGTATTAAATTAATAAAGTTATTGTTTGATATTTTAATTTAATAAATTAATATTTTAAACTTAATTAAGTTGAACATGTGACACCTTTTATGAGTTCCTTTTTTTTTTAGTTTTTATTTTTTTTATTTTTGGTTTTTATCTTTTATATTAGATAAATTTTGTGAAAAAATGAGACTATTTGAGATATCTACATATCATCTCGATTGGGTTTTTTTTTTTTTTTACTTTTTTTAATTATGTAAATTTTACAATAAAAAACTGATAAATAAAAATAACAAAACAAAAAATATATATCTGCAATAAGATGTGTGTCCGTATAGTAGCCTTAATAACAACAATGAGGAAAACAAATTTTCACCAGACCGGAGCTGAACTAAAAATTTTAAGGCCCATAATCAACATGATTTGGTATGGGTCTTACGCTTTCAATTGAACACGAAAATTTGAGCTTAATTTTTATCCATAGACTGACACACAAATTTTCAACAAAAATTGGAGTCCATGGGCTTCAGTATTTGCATTCCCATTAAAATTACCCATCACAAATTACAACTAAAATTTATTTATATACACAAAACATTAAAATGAAAATACTTCTGAAATTGTTTAAGCCTTTTAGGGTAATTTCACAAATACTGAGGCAGAGTAATACTTTTAGTATTAGAAGTAAAAGTTGCCTTATTCTTAACGCCCAAAATTCTCAAGCTTTGCTTAAGAATATCCATCTCCCTTTCCCTTTCATATCCTTCCCTCTCCATTGATGCTACTCGAGTTTTCAAAGCTTCTATTGTTTCTTCCTTGCTCTTCACTTCCTTCTTTAGCTCTTCTATCATCTCCTCTTCATCTGCTTTCCAATACAGTGCGTCTCCTACAAAGAAATATATATTTATATACATATATGGAGCATAGAAAAATCAAATTCAATATCCAATTATTTTTCCTCCTCAATAAAACTCTACATGGCTAATTTTTCTAGTGGAAAAAGTATAAATAGTTAATTATTCATTAATTTAATAAGAATCAAGCAGGCAATCACCAACTTCAAATACTAATTGATTATGAAATGGTATTCTGCTTTTTTTCATTAAGAGTATGTCCTTGGGTTTGTAACATTTATATATGTTTGTGTTTGGTAAAAGGAAATGTTAAAAGAGAAATTTGGAGTTTAGCACTATTGGTTAATGGAATTATCCTTAAGAGATGATGTGCAAAAAAATCGAAAGACTTCCTTTGTATCAAAAAATAATTTTAAAAGGTGACCAAAATTTATCATCAAATACTCCATGTGTACTATCCCATTTGCTAGATTGTATATAGTTATCATCGACACTTTATAAAACTTTTTCAAATGACAGCCAATGGAAAACAGAGTTATTTGCAGGCTGAAGGGTTAGATTCAGTTAAGCTATACATAATTAATCAGACTGAAGAAATATGTTTTAATATAAGAGAGGTGAAGAGAGATAAACCACCATGAGTCCTCTGAATGAGATCATCAAGCTCAGTCCTGATGGCATGATAGAGTTGCTTCCACTTCTCCACAGCCTCATCTCTCCTTGCTCTCTCCTCCTTCATTTGCTCCAACAGGAAACTTGTCCCCAGTAACGGCCATCCTTTGTCACATTTCTCAACCGCCGCTGCATAATTTTCCATTCCTCTTATCTTCTCTTCTTTCTCTTCCACTAATTTCTTCAGCTTCTTCACTTCATCCTTCAGCTTTTTCCTCTCTTTCTTCCACTCCACCTCTTTACATGCAAAAACCATCACTTGTTTTTCATACCCTTTAGCCTCTTTTGCTCTTTCATGCACCATTTCCTTGATATCCTCTTGGAGGAGCCTCATTTTATCTGTCAAAATCTTCACATTTCTCCTCTCTCGACAAGGCTTGCTTTTTTTCTTGCTATTAAAGGCACCCATGTGAAACAATTTGAGAAAAATTGAGGCAGGTTTTATAGGGATTTTGGATTGGAATTAGAGAAAAAAGTGTGTGAATGACATAAATTCTCTTAGCAGAGAGGCTCCTCAATCAATGAAGAAAACAAAGAAAAAAATGCCCGTATGAAAATTTAATAGTATTTTATTTTGCACAAATAAAGTTATAATATGAGGACGGAAAAAGGATTAGATATATTAATATTTAAATTTTAAATTTATAAAATGTTAATTTTTAAAATTCATTATCTAAATCAACAGACTTGAATTTTTATTCAAAATTGAGTAATATTTGTGATTAATTTGTGACGGGCAGACATTAGACAAGTCTCTCAAATAATTGAAGTGTCAAAGAGACCCGTGAAAGACTGTTTTTTCAAGTATGGAAGAAGATGAGCACACAAGACAATATATGGAAAAATAAATGAAGAGAATGGATTGATGGGCTAGCCATTCACATTCACATGGCAAGATTTTTGGAACAAATATTCACGCAATCCAATTATTCATCAAAATTTTATGCCGCCTTAATGGGTCCTACAGTTTTTCACGAGGACACTATACTAATATGTACTGAAGGAATACCATCCCTCCGATGTGACCTGTGCTTTTTTTCTTGTCTATGTGAATTGCAAAATTCTAAAATCGTTTTGACGGGAATCAACATTTAATTTTGTAAGGCGAAGCTTTGGTACACCAAAAATTGTGCTATCTAGTCGAATGATGTTTTTTAATGCCAGCTTTGCATGGTCCTACATTCTTTTCAAGGACATATCTAGAAGGGCTTATAATTGAGAAGTTATTTTTCGTCGGATGTGATCATACTTTCTTTACTCAGCTTTTCAAAAAAGGGTTGATTTTTTTTAGAATTTTAAATTGGATCAAACTCAAAAGATTTAGGCAGTGATAATGATATAATATAAAATTATATAAAAGTGATATGATTTAATAGGAGATAAAAATTATATATAAATTTAATAATAAAAAATTTATATTTTATTTTTAAAATATTAATATATATTATAATATAATAATTATATTAATTTACTCGTATTTAATATAAATTAAATATAAATATACGAATTAAAAAATCTAATATTAATTTTTCTACTCCACCTTAACAACCCTTTGTCCATTAGGTTTACTTGGAGATCAGAACTGCAACTAAAAATTATGTTGAAAGTTACAAATAAATTCGTGACCATTAGAATATTTTATTGTAAAACTTAGGGTTAAATATAAAATGGTCCATCTATTATTTCTTTTCTATCAATTTGATATTTAAAACAATAAAATTCGTAATTAAATTTTTAAACTTTTATTTTGTTATATATTTTGGAATATCAAAATAATATCGTTAGTCAAATTATTGACGTGATATAAATACATAATAAAATTATGATACTTACCAAAAAATCAATAATTGTTATATTATCCATTGCCACTTCAATATTATAAAAATTCTAAAAAATCTAAAATAATTTTTAAAAATAAAAAAATTAAAAAGTTAAAAAAAATCTAATGAATCAGAAGGTCTTAAAATTTTTCAACAATACAAAAATTTTAGAAAATTTTAAAAAAAATCTAAATTTTTTTTACAAATTCCAAAAAATTGAAAAAAGAAAAATATGAAAAAAATTAACAATGAAAAAATTAAAATTTTTTGAAAAACTAAAAAACTAAAAAAATTTCAAAAGTAAGAATTTCAAAAAATTTTCCAAAAAAGAAAAAGTGAAAAATTTTTAAAAATTCTAAAAAAGTCCAAAAATTTTAAAAAAATTGAAAAAAAAAAACTTAAAAAACAAAAAACCCTAAAAATTTTAAAATATATATGAAAAATAAAACATCCAAAAAATCTGAAAAGTTAGAAAAAATTCACAAAAAACTACACAAAGAAACACAAAAAAATTAAGAAAAAATGCAAAAAAAAAGAAAAATAAAAAAAATAAAATAAAAAATGATTTTTCATAATTTGAAGTTTTAAAAAATATAAATATTTTTTTAATTTCAACTTGACAATCGATGATATAGTGATAATTAGATATTTTTAACACTAATTATAATTTTATTGAATGTTTATATTATGTCAAAAATTTAACTAGCGTTAATTGTGTCGAGAGTTGAAATGTCAGATGAAATATAAATTTAAATAAATTATTATAACTTTTTGTTCTTTTAAGTATCATATTGACTGAAAACAAATGATACAGAAATCAAATGAATATTTAATCTTAAAACTTGTTTGATATTGTGTTTGCTGTCAAATTTAGCTTGTGAAGAAAGCAATTCTAATGATGATATCAAACGAGATTATAATTACTTTATCAAACTCTTATAATTAGGTACAAATTCGTCACAATCGGGAAAGTTTTACCGTAAAACTTGTTTCGAACTTTTATTTTCTTGTGCAATAACTTGTTTGATACTTTGCCATCAAAGTCATCTTGTGAACAACGCAATTTTGATGACAATACCAAAACCAGATCGAAACCATACTTATCCATGAATCAAATATTTACTCATTTTAGTACTTGAATTCGAAAAAAAATATACAAATTGATATCTAAAAGATAAAAATATATAATTTGTATTCTAAATATTCAAATTATGTATTATGTTAATTTAAACTTTGATCCCATTAAATATATCAACTTATATATGTAATGTTTAATAAATATTATCAAGTTATATATTTATCACACATACTATTAATATGATTTAATATAAATTAAAATATATATTTATTTAAACTATAAATTTATCTAAAATTGATCAATTATCATTTGTTATGTGACGTTCACTTGAAGTTTTTACAAAATATTTGATATTTTTATTTAACAAATGATATGAATAAAATAAAATTATACTAATTATGTACTATATAGACAAATTAAATTAATAATATTGGAATTTAGATTAAAATAATATTTTATTTGAAAATTCAAAATAAAAATTATATATTTTATTTTTTAAACATCAATTTGTACAATTTCTCAAAATTCAAATATCAAAAATATAATTTACTAATTAAAAATTCATAATTAATTTGTGGGTTAATAGCGCTTCGCCTTATAAAATCAAGATTATTTTTATAGAACAGATCACTTATTAAAATCATATTAATCTTAGTAAATGTAAAAGTTTGCATAACTAATTTTCACATAAGATTCTAACGCTTATCTAGTCTCAATTCTACGCTTAAAAACATAAAAAAAAACAAATAGAAAATTTGACCTTTATGAAGATTCAAGAAACTCTTTAGCCAAATTTCAATTATTAATAAAAAAATTTTGTTATATATTAGCCATAAAGTTACATGCTGAGAAATTTCTACCCAAGTGCCAATGTTACTTGAAAAGACCAAAAGTTTAAAGTATAGCAAATGATGTCTATCCTTTCCATTCCAAAAATATCTACCATTTATTTCATTCCCCATCTTCACCTAAAATCTTCTGTTTGTCCACATCATTGCAATTTCTCAGGGAATTTGGTAAGATTTTGGAGATTATTCTCACAAAATAACACATCTGAAACTGCAAATGCTGCTATCTCAACCAGGATTTCTTGTGTATTTTTTGCCACTTGGGTTTTGAAGAAGCAAACAAATTCTACATCCCTTGCATTTTTCAAAGATACCAAATCAACATAATTGCATACAGCCAAATTCATTTATGATGACATCTCCTTGGATTCCCTGCCTGAAAAGGACTTTCAATGTTCGGAAGCTGCAGAAGTAGGGCATGCGTTCATTCAAATTTATAAAGTACAGGTCCATTTCACATTAAATTTGGTGATCAACCATGCATACTAATTTATAAAGTACAGGTCCATTTAACATTAAATTTGGTGATCAACCATGCTTCCCGGTAAAAACTATATGTGCCTTAAAGTACAGGTCCATTTCACATTAAATTTGGTGATCAACCATGCTTCCTAGTAAAAACTACTTGTGCCTTTGTTACTATGTTAATACTTTGCTTTAACAAAAAGTAGATTGAAAGGGTGCGAATTAGTGGAAAGAATCGGATAAGGTTTATATATATATATATATATATATAAAAAATATATATATATATATAAATATATATTGCCAGAGTATGTACAATTTATAATTAGGTATAAGTATGAAAAAAATTTAAATTAAATAACCATTCAAACGTCTATCAATTTATTATAATCAATTAAACTCTTAAATATTTGTTTTTATTAATTGTGTCTTTAATAAATGAACATTTGTAGACATCCATCTATATCCGAAGCCTGTCAAATCAATTTTGGTCAATGATACTAATTTTGCTATTATTTTATTGCTATAGTATATATTATTATTTTTCATTCTTCTTTCCTTTCTTTTTCGTTCCGTGGTGAAAATTTTGGAAATTGAAGTTGAATCAACCGAATCTGAAGATGTATATAGTCAAAGGTTTTTAATGCAAAATTAAATGGGGGTAACTGTTGAAATCAATTGCGATCAAATTAGAGACATAAGATTATGCTCGGGCAAAATCCAATCCTAGGATTCTAGCATAGATTGATTCTGTTCATTCCCTAAAATCTTTCCTAAAGATACCTATAAATTGAACCAAGAATCAAAAGAACAGGACATGGTGGATTTAGGGAGAAAACACTTAGTGTTTAAGGTTCTAAAATATTGGGTTACTGGGATTTTGGGTTCAATTTTTAAGAATTCTAGGTTTGATTTAAAGTTTTTGGATTGTGACTTAGGTTTCTAGGTTTAGGATTGAATTTTTGGAATGGTTTTGAAGAAATCTGGAAAATTTGGAAAATTTTAGTTGTTTCTGGAAAAAATTTGGGTTTGAAAGATGAACTTTGAATTTTTTGATGAGTTTTTGAGTTTTTAGGTGGGATTTTGGTTAATTTTCTAGAAACCAATGGCTAAACCTAATTTTCAGTTGAATTTCTAGGTTTTTTTAAGAGAGAATGGAGAGAGAATTGGGCCTAGAAAGAGAAGGTAGGGGAATTCTGAAGAAAAGGTGAATGGTGTGGGTTTTATACTCCCCTAACATGACATCATTTTGGAAGGCCCAGACTCGTCGGTAGACCCATTGACTCGCATGCTGACCCGTGTGTTGACTCAACTTGAATCGCATGTTTTTCTTATTTCATTTTAATTTTAAT